ACATAGGATAGGAGTAGGATTCCTGGACTGGGTGATAATAGTGTTCCACTCTTTGAGGAACCCAACAAGGGTCCTGATTTCTCCAGTCCCTCACCAACACTTGGTATTTTGTGTATTTGTTGTTTGTTTTTTTAAAGAGCCATTTTAGTGGGTGTGTGAAGTGGTATCTCACTGTGGTTTTGATCTGCATTTCCTTAAAGACGGATGATTATGAACAACTTTTCATGTGCTTCTACATCATACTGGGTAAAGGGGTGTGGAGGCCAGCGAAAAAGAGGAAGCCACCGGATCAGATAGAGTGACATGGTGGCAGCAGCAACAGGGTCAAACAACTGTGAGGATGATGAAGGACCCAGCAGTGAAAACCCAGGTTTGTGTTGTGCGTGGGGTCGCCGTGAGTTGGAATCGACTCAACAGCACCTAAGAACATTTCTGCTTTAGAGAGATGTTTGTTAAGTCCTTTGCCCATTTTCAAGTTGGGTTTTTATATTTCTGTTTTATGTTTGTGATTTTGTAGCAGGAAGAGATTAAGATAGAAAACACAAAGGAATTAAGGAAGTTGACTACCTAGAAATTCATTATTTAAGTTTGGGGAAAAAAAGGTATGAAGAAGTTAGAAAAATATACCAGAGAAGATTCTTGCCCACACATAACCAACGGGAACAAACAGTCTAACGGAAAAGTGCAGAAGCCTTGAGTAGGCGGTTCTTAGAAGAGGAATGAACAGCCTTCACTGGGAATCAAAGAAAGCGCACTTCCAGCTGCAGTGAGTGCTCATGTCACTTCCACACACCCACTGGGCAAACTACCAGACTCCTTATCTCTCTCACGGAAATACCCAGGAGTGTGATCTGCTGAAGAAGATGAGTTGAAAGGTAGTGGCTCTGTACATTTAGCAGTGCCCGATATGGGGCCTGTGCCCAGAACCGTCTGCACACGTGAACCGGGAAACAAACATCAGGTTGTGGTTTGCTGCCGACCAGTCAGCCCCTGACTCATGGGCACTCCCACACAACAGGCTTGGAGTGTTGTGATCGGAGATTTTCTTTGGCTGGTTTTCAAGTCAATCATGTGGTCTTTCTTCCTAGGCTGTCTGTCTACATCTGGAAGCTTCACCGACACCTGTTCAGCCCCATAGCAGTACGCAAGCCTCCACGGACACATGGTAGTGGCTGCATATGGGGTGCAGGGCCGGGAATCCAACCCAGGGCTCCTTCATGGAAGGCAAGAGTTCTAGCCTTAGAGCCACCACTGCCTTCAGCCGCTTCCAGCGCATTCTTGGTGATACCAGAAAATGTTGTTGTTGTTAATTGCCGTCGAGTCGGTTCCAACCTAGCGACCCTGTATAGGGCTTCCAAGGAGCAGCTGGTGAGCTTGAACCGCCAACCTTGCAGTTTAAATGGCTTTGCAGTCTGGAGCATTAACCACACTGAGGACATGCATCCTCAGTAAAGAACACTTTTTTTTCTTAAGCGAAAAAAAGAATCAGAGCGGAATCATACAATATGAGTTAGATGGTGTAATGTTTAAAAATTGCATAATACAACAATACATTGTCCAGGGTCACATCCTTATGTGGCAAAATTATGAAAGGCCAGTGAGTCCTGACCACAAATATGAGTGGAGGGGGCGCAGGGGTCTGAGTGCGCGTGTGTGATGTTATTTCCCAGCTGTGTCATAGGTGCATGAGTGTGGGGTTTTTTTAAAACAACACTTCATTGAAAACAAAATTTCGGTAATAGGATAAAGTGGAAGGAGGCCTCAGAACAGTCAACCATATGAAAACAAAAGGACAGCATTTGCCCAAAAAACAAAGCTGAGAAGGCAGGAAGGGCCTGAGAAAATGGACCTATGGAAACTAGGAAGCCAGGGGAAAAGTGAGAAGGCTGTTGGTTACATGGAGAGAATTGTAATTTACGTCAGCAAACAATGTGTATAAATTGTTGAATGGGAAACTTCTCTGAAAACTCTCACCCAAACCACAATAATGTATCACACCCCTACCCCCACCCCCAAAAGGAAGCAATAGGGAAGTGGAGTGGTCACACTGAGAGCATGCTGGACGAAGGGCAGAGCAAAGGGGCTGCAGGGTGAGGGAAGGTTTTTCTACTTTATATTAATATACGGTATTTTTTTTTTTTTTTAATGTTTTACTGTGAATTGTGTGATAGTCTACATGGGAATACACTGTATTTTTGTAGAGCACTTTTAGGGTTATAGAAAAAGTACATGGAAACTCACAGAGAATTCCCATAGGCCTCCTCCTCCCCTGGCCTGTGTTTCACCTATTACTTGCATCTTGTGTCGGTTGATACATACGTTACAACTGATGAACCAGTATTGCTAGGCTTATTCCTAACTAAAGTTCATCGTTTGCATAAGTGTTCGTAGTGTTTTGTCAGTTCTGTGAGTTTCAGCAAATGCATAATGTCACATGTCCACGTCACTGTCTCATGTAGAGGCGTTTTGTTGCACTTAAAATGCCCCGTGCATTGCATTTTCATCCACAACTGTCTACTTAGTTGGGTGTCTCCTTCGTCATCCAGATAGCCTCTGGAGGGTGGAAGGAAGCATTTGTTCTGTGGGTTAGCATTGGACTGATAACCGAAAGGTCAGCAGCTCAAACTTGCCAGCCGCTCCTCAGGAGAAAGATAAGGCTGTCTGCTCCCGTAAAGTCTTTTAGTCCTAGACACCCTATCAATTTACAATCTCTATGAATTGGAATCAGTTTGATAGCAGTGGGTTTGGTTTTGGAGTTTGGATGCTCCCAGTTGCATGTACTGTGCCTGGCACCAAATAGGCCCTCAGTAAAGACTGATCAAACTTGTGGCTAGAGATTACCTTCACTGTGTGTTTACTAGCAATTGAAGAACGGGGTGTTGCAAGTGGTACCAGATAGTAGCAGCAAACAAGTGTTGAATGCTTACTCCCTTACAACATACTTGCTCGGCACTGTGTGGCACTGTGGACTAACACTGGACAGCTAACTACAAGATCGGCTGTTCACACCCACCAGCTGCTCCTCAGAATCCCTATGCAAGTCACTATGCATCGGAACCAATAAAGAGCACTTAACAGGCATTGTGCTGACGACTTGAAATGTATCACCAGGGAGGGGTTGGTTTTGTTTCGTTGTTGAGAACATACAAGTAAAACACCTGTTCCCCAATTTCCACGTGGACAATTGAGCAACACGGGTACATGCTATGAGTTGTACTTCTTCCCACCCTCCTTTTCTGAGTTCTTTCCCCATGCACAAAAACTCACAGTCACCGGTTTCCTAGCTCGTCTTTGGATTTGCTGTTGTCACGTTGATCCTATATGTCGTTGTAAGTGCCATCAAGCTGGTGTGACTCACAGTGACCCTGTATAGGGTTTCTGAGGAGCGGCTGGTGGGTTTGAACTGCCAGTCTTGCAGTTAGCAGTCCAGGGCTTATCCTACAGTGTCACACCAGGATTCCCATGAATAAGAGCATAATACTCAAGGAAGCCTGTCTGTTTTGTTGTTTTGTTTGAAAACTAGTTAAGCTAAAGTATGGGAGTGTGATGAGTCCATGGGATAAGCACTGCTGGACTGTGAGGCACAGGTTGGTGGTTTGAGCCCACCAGTGATGAGACTTTCTGTTCCTGCACAAATTTAAAGCCTCAGAAACCTAGACAGGGTGGCCACGAGTAAGAACTGACTAGGAGACTTCACAACAAGCTACACTCTGGTTTGGTTTGAAGAAGACTGCAGGGGGGTATAGTTTTGGTTGAAGGCTTAAAGATGATCTCAAGGCAATAGTGTCGGGTTCATCCAGCTTCCATGACACCAGAAAGTCTAGATTCCATAGAAATTTAAATTATGTCCAGCATTTTCCTCTTTGTGATGAGGATTCTTCTATGGCCTCCTTGATCAAAATGTTCAGTAATAGTAGCTGGGCACCATCCAGTTCTGGCCTCATCACATAGTCAACTGGAGAGAGTTTTTAAAGAGAGAAGGTATGGTAGAGGGTTAACGTGCGTGACAGGACAGGCTATACAAGGGAGGTTGGCAGAGTAAAGAGGAAGACAGTGGAAGGCGTGGAAGAGTGCCAGAGGTATAGTGAATAGAGGTAGATGCTATTAACTGATGGTCCATGGAGGGGATGCAAAGAATATGATTGGTTGAATGTGAAGCTGATGATCTCCCCTTGAATGTAAAGCCAGTGATCTGCTCTGTGAATCGGACTCCTGGTACGGCGCTGTAGGGTCAGCACTGACCTGCGAACCACAGCTGCTCCTTGGGAACCCTAGACAGGGTCTCTATGAGTCAGAACTGACTCGACGGCACTAAGCAATAACAGCTCTAAACCTTCACTCCATTCCCAATAAAAAGTGTATTAAAAAAGGGGGTGGAGTGGGGCATCATACTTGCCCACTGACAGGACTGATGGAGCAGAGAGTAGATGCAGGGCGTTTGGGTGGAGCATTTGAGGTGGGAGCAGGGAGGCATCTGCATGACAGCAGGGACACAGAAAGTTGGGTGCATGTTTGAGCGGGAGGGGAGGGAGCTCTCGTCACAAGACTCCCACTTTTTCTTGGTGACACAGGAAGCTTTGAGAAGAGGGACCAGGGGAAGTCAGAGGTAGCCACCCTGTGTCCTCAGGGATGGCAGTGGAAAGATTTCAATGATGCTGATGCTGGGGTGGCAGAGGTGCAGCAAGAGTAGCCAGGTGCCTCATGTTTGAGGAAGGTGCCAGGCGCAGGGCAGTGAGGAGAGGGGATGGTGGGGCCTGGTCACAGAGGGTCTTATAGGACTTTGGACACTTAGGCTGTAGGGAGCCATCCATCGATAGGCTTGGGGCAGAAGCATGCCCGGGTGAGATCAGGCGCAGAGAGAACAGACTGGTGGGGACAGAGAAGATGTGGCTGGGGCCGGTGAGTCTGGCTTGTCTGACTGCCACTAGGGGGCGTGCTGGGGCTCCATGGCATCACCCCCAGAAATTTCTGGGCTTGCCCTCAGCCTCTCCTTCCTCCAGGTGGTAGAGATTGTGAAGAAGCTGGAGTCTCGCCAGAGGGGCTGGGAGGAAGATGAAGATCCTGAGCGGAAGGGGACCATAGTGTTCAATGCCACATCGGAGTTCTGCCGGACGTTGGGGGAGATCCCCACCTACGGGCTGGCCGGCAACCGGGAGGAGCAGGAGGAGCTCATGGTGGGTCCTCGGTGCGTGCTCGGTCGGGTGGGCAGAGGGCTAGGCAGGCTTCAGAGCCAGCAGCCAAGCTGACCTGTCTTCTGTCGCCAGGACTTTGAGCGGGACGAGGAGCGCTCAGCCAACGGCGGCTTCGAGTCTGACGGGGAGGAGAACCTCGGCTGGAGCACCGTCAACCTGGACGAGGAGCAGCAGCACCAGGATGTGAGGCGGGAGTGGGGGCTGGGGAACTTGAGATGGGTAACCCCGAGTCCCAGTCCTGGCTTGCCCCTTCCTACTCAGGATCTGAGAGCCCCTGTTTCCACGCTCATAAAATGTGTCTGTCGGCCCCACGGGGTCATGGGGAGGCTGGTGCGGGGACCTTGTGCGGGTGGTTGAGAAGAGCCTTGGGGCTGCTGTTCACTCCCACCCTCCCCTGGAACCCGGCAGTTCTCCGCCGCCTCCACCACCATCTTAGACGAGGAGCCCATTGTCAACAGAGGACTGGCAGCCGCTTTGCTCTTGTGTCAGAACAAAGGTGAGGAGTGGGGGCCTGGGCTGCCGTGCCCAGAAGGATGTGGGTACTACTGTCTGCTCCCTCACCTCCTCTGTCCCCCTGAACCACTCCTCCCCCTGCCCCTGGCACCAGGACAGTGAGCAGCAGCTGTGTTCTCGCCTCGCCTCAGTCCCACCTCGCCCCCACAGGACACAGTGTCTGCTCAGAGAAGAGTGGGTGTATGCACTTGTAATGGTCCAGGCTTCAGCTCAGAGAGAGGGAGAGTCTGGGCTCGGGTCCCAGCTCAGCCAGTGGCCCTCAGCAAGCAGACAAATGGACCTGGTGTCTGTGCCCAGCCTAGTGCAGCCAGCTGGCTCCCCAGGGCCACTGTATGACATGGACCCTGCAGGACTGAGGTCTCCCAACCCCCAACCCCCACCCCCCAGGATTGCTGGAGACCACGGTGCAGAAAGTGGCCCGAGTGAAGGCACCCAACAAGTCTCTACCTTCTGCGGTGTACTGCATCGAGGACAAGATGTGAGTGTGCGGGCACCTCTGGGAGTCCACAGTGCTCAGGCGGGCTGGGAGGCAGCTCACATGAACCCTCTCTGTCTCGGACCAGGGCCATCGACGACAAGTACAGCCGACGGGAGGAGTACCGCGGTTTCACCCAGGACTTCAAAGAGAAGGACGGCTACAAGCCTGATGTCAAGATCGAGTATGTGGATGAGACCGGCCGGAAACTCACACCCAAGGAGGTGAGGGCCCACCGCCCCCTCCACACTCCACAGCTCTCCCTCCTCGGGGCAGCCAGGGCTCAGACCCTTCTGCTGACTCCTTGCTGGCGGGTCCTAAGGCTCTTTCTTACCTCCCCCTCGACTGCTAGCCCCATCCTCCCCCCAAACACTGCCAGCTGCCCCCTCCACTGCCCATTGACAGGCCCCTGACCACACACACACACCCCGCCTGCCAGGAAACAGCTCGTGGCTCAGGGTGGCTCTGAGCTACTGCTGCCCTGTGTCCCCAGGCATTCCGGCAGCTGTCCCATCGCTTCCATGGGAAGGGCTCGGGCAAGATGAAGACTGAACGGCGCATGAAGAAACTGGATGAGGAGGCGGTGAGCGGTGGGGGGCGCGCAGGCCCCACAAGGGGGGGGTTGCATGCTGGGGCTGCTGCTGCCCTTGCTGACACCGGTTGTGCCCCCATAGCTCCTGAAGAAGATGAGCTCCAGCGACACGCCCCTGGGCACTGTGGCTCTGCTCCAGGAGAAGCAGAAGGCCCAGAAGACGCCGTACATCGTGCTCAGCGGCAGCGGCAAGAGCATGAACGCGTGAGTGCCTGGGAGAGCTGGGTGGGCGGGCAGGTGGGTGCACCCAGGGTGCCAGCCTCACCCCTCCCTTCTCTCTGCAGGAACACCATCACCAAGTGAAGCCGGCCTCCCTTCCCTCTCCTCTTGTCGTTAAATAAAGCCCCTTCCTTATTTTTAACCCCCTGGTCATGGTGCCGACTCCAGGGGTGGGCCTCCTAGGGGAGACACTGGTGACTGTGTGACTTCAGGCCGCAGTCTCACCTTTATGAAGTCTCAGCCACTCATTCTAAACAGGGTGTGAAGATTGGAAGAACTCACTCATTTTTTTATTCACTCACTGGGGATTCAAAAGTGAACGAGCCCTGGGCACATAGGGCTACTAGGTGAGCTGCATTGAAGGGGCACACTTAGCCCTGCTCCTTTCAGTCACCCCTAGCCTGGGGCCGCAGCTAGCCAGAAAGACACAGGTTGGTTTTTTGTAACACACACACACACACACACACACACACACACACACTCACACACACCCCCACTTATCACTAGCTTCTGGTTAGAAGTGGTAGGTGTTCTAAGAGGTTTAGTCGTCCTGGGATGAGCCAGGACCTTCTGGGACAGAGCCCTCCCATGGACCAGAGGACCACCTGGCAGCCTGGTGGGCAGGTCAGAGACCCAGAGCCCCCCAAGTGTCCCTCGCACTCCTGTACCACCTTGGACTGTGACCAGAAGAGGCAGCACCGTCCTTGACTACAGCGTTTTACCCGCAGTTGGTTACAGTTATGCATGGGGCACTCAGCCCAGTGCCTTCTGGGAGACTTGTCCCATGTGCACTTAGACAAGATCCTCAGCACACTCTGAAGGCCGGGTTGAGCCCAGGGTAGATGGAAAGATGCCACCAGCTAAGCACCTGCTTGTGGGCCACAGTATGTGCCAGGTGACACAACGGTTTTAAGATGAAAAAAATGAAACCGAAAAACAAGTGGAAGGGTGATGTTGAAAATTCATCTTGGATGGAAATAATGCTGTGTCCATAAGGGACAAAACGTGGTCACCTGAAAAGAGAAGGTTGCTGTTAGAGGACGTGGTTTCTGCAAGGCTGCGCCATGCCAAGCCCACTCACTGTTCCTGGGCTCAGACACACGCACACCCTCCTGAGTTTGACTTTTGATTCTGATTTAGTGTTCACCTTGCTTCCTCAGTGAGTCTGGAGTGTGCTTGCCCTAGAGGCTGGATTCAGGGTTCAGGGAACCAGGGTCCTTTTTCATGAAAGCTTGTGTGCACTTCCAGAGTTGTGGCCCAGTAGTCCAGGGTCCCCGGAGAAGCACACACCATATCAGCTGCCAGGAATTGGGCCCATCTTGGGGCAGTTGTCACACCCAAGCTAGAAACAACCCGATCCCTGGTCTGGAGCACAGCTGGATGAAGGCCAGGCTGCCTTCTGTGCTTCTGACTTGAATAATCATAGTGAACTATAACCTAAAGCGCCTCCTCCAGGAAGCCTCAGTCTCGGGCCAGGCTTGCTCCTCTCCTGGTGCCGCATTCCCCTTCCCCCACTGTGTCCTTCCACCTGGCCGGGGCTGGGAGACAGCAAGGCCTCAGTTCATCCCCTGCAGGAAGAAACGCTGGGACTCCCCCCATCCCATTCCCCTGGAGACCTGAACTCCCTGCGCACTGGTGACACCAGCAAGACACCTTCGTCCCAGGAGCACCCCATGGATCAGGCTGCACTGCTTCCTAGAACAGGCTGCTTTCTCAGCTTTTGCATTTACTGTCTGACATCAGGCATGCCACACCTAGCCATTTGGTGTTCTAGCTGCAGAAGGGGTCATGACTTCACCAGGTTAAGTATGGTTAGCCAGCTAATGGCTGGGCCTGGGAATGCAGAGGAGCAAAAACAGGGTTCCTGGCCACTGGTCTTGGAGTCAGTGGGTGAGTGACCTCATGGGAGCGGGAGGGAATTCTGCCCTTCAGATATGCTCCAAAGAGCCCAGCTGGCAGGTGTCTCCTGGCTGCTCAGCCCGCCCCGCCAATCTCAGCCAGGCAGATGGCAGGTGGTGATGGGGTCCTCAGCACAAAGGTTAGTGTGGCCTGGGCTCCAGGCACAGGCAAGTCTTCCATCCCCTTCCTCTTGACTGTTCCACCCCATCCCTGTCCTCCAGCTCTGGCTTCAAGTTCCAGCAACCCTTGGCTCTGTCAGTCAATGGCTTCGTTTCCCTCTGGCCGGGCGATGGCTGTTGAGGCTCAGGACGGAACTAGACCCCTTTTGTCATTTCTCTGTGTGTCTTCTCTAGAGCAGGCTGAGCTAAGAAGCCACCTCCCCCATTCATCAGAGGCCTTTGGGAGCTCAGGTCAGGTCCTGTGGGCCAGCACTGGAACAACTAGAAAGGTGCCCCTCTGGCCACATCCTACAGGACTGGGGGCTTTGTCTCTCCAGCCACTTTGACTGCCTGCCCCTCGTTCCCCAGGTGGTCCTGTTAATGTCCTCAAGAAGGACTCAGGTGCCTACTGGGCAGTGGCTGGAGGAGCCAAGCAGGATGAGAGTGTGGCTCTGTGTTGGGGCCTCTGGGACTTCAATGTCATGGGTGGAGGTGTGCAGTGGAACGAGACACCCCAGTACCCTCTCTTTGCTTGGTCACACTGGATGGGGTCTGCCCCCTGAAACTCACCCTACACATGATCTGAGGCATCCCCTGGCCTGGCTGAGCTTCCAAAGGCTTTTAAAAGCCCACTTTATTGGAGGGAGACTCAAACCGAGGATAGAGTGGGGTTCTGGGAATGAAAAGTTAGTACACAGCTGGCCCGTTTCCTTTCCTGGTCTCCATCCAACACGGCAGACTGTCCACCCAGAAGGGCCAGCATTGCACTACCTACTTGCTCCAGAACAGTCTTAGGCTCTAGCCTGGGATTTTGTCATCTGGGATGTGGCCAGGAAGTAGAGCTGAGCTGACCGGGGAGCTTCCAGCCAGTTTGGGGAAGAGCAGGTCCTTGCCCCAGAGCCCAAAGCCCTGGTCTTTGCCCCCTTGGCCATACTGTAACTGTTTTCAGCCTCCTGCCACCAGAAATCCTAGGACAATGAGACCACATGGGTCTTCCTAACCAGAGTCCCTCTTTGTGCTGAGAGAGCTGTGGTGGTCCCTCCGAGCCCAAGGAGGACTCAGGCTGCACACCCGTTCTGATAGGTCCTCAGATGAGGAAGTTCCCTGTGGACGAAGGGGCAGGTCCAGTACTGCTCACGGTAGGCCTGACCAGCCTACCTGATAGGGTCTTCTCCCTACTTACCTTGTCTTTAAATTTAAAAAAAGTCCAAACAATATATCCTCATGGTTTTTCATTGTTGAGAATATACACAGCAGAGCACACAACAGTGTGTGCAAGCACAATTCCGTCACCTTGGTTACGTAAGTTCTTTACGCCTCGCATCCACACTTGCTGCCCTTGCAGTTCCTATCTGACCTGTCCAGTGGCCCATTTGATCCTTTACAGATGGATCTTAAAAGAGCACAGTGCTCACAGAAGACATTCTTCACTAAATAAAAATTTTTTAATGCTATCAAGTTGATTCCCCTGTCCTATTGTGACCCCATAGGACAGGATAGAGCTGTCCCATGGGGTTTCCAAGGCTGTACATTTTTTTAAAAAATGTTTTATTGTGAATTATATGATACTTTACATGAGAGAACTTTAGTTTCACATTCATTCCATCGTATATCATTTCATTGCCATGGTTCCAATCCCCTCCAAGTATCATCTTCTGACCAAAGAGCATATCCTAGAAACCCATCCTCTACACTTCCCCCTCCCTCACTCCCCCCACCCCCCAGTCTTAGGCCCACAGTCCCTTTCCCTCTGGATCCAAAGTCCCCAGCCACTTCATCCTTCCATGTCATCATCTATGTCTCCATCTCAGGCGTCCCTGCTTATCTGGGTAGGGTCCCACTCTCGGCTCTTCTCTGTTGGTGGTCCCAGAGACCTCCGCTCCTAGACTGGAGAAATAATCACTCCCTTCCTTGCTACAAAATATCTACCTTTGCATTTCCAACCCTCACAATCCGTCTTGATAACCAATGTTCACTACAGTATCGCGAGTAACCCATCTGTATTTCATTTCATCAGCTCCACCTAGACAGATTGGATAGTACTCACTGGTGATTCTGCCTTCCTCCATGCCCCCTAGCTCTAGGTTCCCTCTTGAAAGCTTGTAAGCCAGTCACTTGCGTTTGTAGTCTTTCATTTGGGTATCCAATGTTCAAGTTGCTCATCTCTGTCTACTCTGTGTGTGGAGGGGGTGGGAAT